TCAAATTGAAACTTGCTCTATACGGGGCTTTTTTAGGCCATATGACACGACTAATTTGGTGTTTCCACCGTCTGCTATGTTCGTTCGTAAATCTTAAATAGTGTTATGACTTACTAAACCAATACTTTTGTTCTTTACTATATTTGACGTCATCGTAACCCCTTTTAATGAGTCAGAAACAACAGTAGAACGTTTAGCTCACTTGTAGAGATGTATTAAACTATTTTTGTCATGTGCCAGTATGTTCTACAATGTGTTTGATCACTGTTTTTTCTCTTCTCTTGCCGAGCGGGCAATTTATGGAAGGGGGACCTGATAATGGTTTTTGCAAGTTATTTGCATTCCTTTGCCTGAATAGTTTTTCAGTGAAGGTGGCAAGTTTCTAAAGAAGCTGTAGTGCTGAGTAGGTGGAGAGTATAACAGAGTGATGTAGTATTATCAACTGAATTATTAACGTAAATTGGCCACCGAAAAGAGTAACAGCTGACGTTTCGAGCGTCAGTCCTTCGTCTATCGCTCTGGCGAAGGGCCAACGCTCGAAACTTCAGTTGCTAAACTCTTTACAGTGGCCAATTTACGTTATCAACTCAGTTGATAGTACCAAATTACCAAGTTTTTGAGTAGCCTAGTTAGATATGCAAAGTCCAGTATGTCAAACTAGTATACAAACACAGTAACTAACCTGCCTACTTCAGTGGTTAGCTAAATTATGCCAAAACTTAAGCTAACACAATCGTCAAAGGCTCACTTATTGTGAACATGAGCTGAGGACGGGGAAGGGCTAACAACTTCACTCTTATGAACGCAGTTCTTGAATCCTTCGAATGTGTTTTGTTCGTTTGTTTATTCGACACCGTTTATTATTTATCACCTGGGAGGGGGGTGGGACGGTTGGGGTCGGAGCATTTTGTTTGGGTCAGAATGAAACTTATCTAACCCCCCACCCTTATTGGCAGACCCCCCTATACTCTGTTAGCGAAAAGTTATCCAACCCCCCTTCCCCTAGAAACCGAAACATTCCTCCCCTCAAAAAAATCCCCCCTCCTCATAGACGATATAGAACTTCTGTTCCCTTTACCTTTCCCCCTTCTCCTTATTTTATCCAAACAGGAATATTTCATTTCTACTTTCCCAGACGCTAGAAATATCAAAGTCGTTCCCATTGGTAAACAACACTTTCTTTCGTTCGGTGATATAAAAATTTATTGACTAAGGTTATAACCTCGCTTACAAAGGTTACCTAAAGATTTATTATAGTTGGAGTCACCGTAATGTTATCATTTCTTATTAAATGTCACTAATTCGAGTGACATTTGGTGTCAATATCCTCGTTTTCTTTTCTTTTTCTTTAAATCAAGATAATAGCACGACTTTTTGAAAATTACGAGTGCTCACTCATTCCAAATTACCTGCGAAAAATCACTTCTAATTCATTTATAAATGATCTAATTTTCCAGATACCTTCACCTGATAACAGAGGCAAAGAAGAGGTAAAACACGCTCAAAAATTATATAACCAAACCTTGCAAGCATCATTGTGCGTTCGGTCAAATCAACGTGTCAAGTCAAAGGGGAAAATTTTCGGCACGCCTTTCTTTTTAAGCCATTAAACAGTTCGTTATCGTTTTTCACTGAATT